ACAGCACTGGCCCTTTTAATGTGTTTTTATTGAACTGTGCTCGATTTTGTAGTTTCTATTCCAAATTTTCATTTTGTATTTTGTTTTTCCTGCTGTAGGGCTGTTAATTAGTCAAGCTGTTTTAAAATCGTGCAGCAGCACTTAATCCGGATTGTGCTCAACCCCGATTGGCGCTAATCGCGATAATAAAGGTGCCCGCGTGACACCGCTGCGTGGCATCGAGATGACGTCCTCCATGATGATGCTTGCAGGAACACTTGTGTTGATGCCAGTGGTCAATTTGCGCGTTTGACGAGCCTCGTCCGAGGATTTACCTGAGTGAATGTCTCACGGGAAAAAAAAATATAAAAAGGTGATTTCTTTATCTTAGTTCAGAGCATTACAGATTGACCAGGTGCAAATTTCAGCCACCGCACCAAAAACTGGACAAAAAGCAGGCGGTCACGTGGCGACAGCTGCAGACCAAGACGTTCCCAAACCCGGTGATTGCCAAACTCTGTTACGCAGAGCTTTATGCGTGGCGCTGCAAGTTTTGCGATGCCAGGACAACCCTGGAACACATGTTATGGGAGTGCAGCTATGGTGTCGTCTTCTTGCGACACTTCGTGCAACCACAGTGATGAACACGTTGGCTTACGCGTTAAAAAGGTTAACTGATTCGCAATAGCTACGCTGCGCGCTTTTTACACTAGACGTATAATGCTCGATGTTTCTGCAAAAATAATTTTGTGATTGCCTGGTTCATTTTGCCTGACCTATTCAGCCAGACGGGGGCTCATATACCTGTTTACAGCTTCGATGTTCTAGGCCATTCTAGCTTTGGTAATCCGGCAGAAACAATGTAATCGCTATTGACTCTCACACATCGGCTTATTTTGACTCAACGGCTGGAGTATCCGCAATGCGGATATCTCGAGTTTCTCCGAACGAATGTCCATTTGCGAGATAGAGTTAGCCACAGACGTAAAGTTTAGGTTGCGTTAAGGATTACGTTCCGTAAAGATCTGTGCATAGGGTGCGTATACTTCTTTGCGTTATTGCATAACCGAATAGAATCTGCGTATGCACGGGTCTTTACGGCGTTAACGATTGAAGTTGCCGGACCAGATTTACATGCATACAGTGTCCCTTTAGGATATCTCATGTGATTAGCACCGCAGAAGGAGAGAGGAAGTAGAATTGTCATCTCTCTTCGTATGAACGTAACCTTGAGACGGAAAGTGTACACGGCGGAAAAACGGTACCTGCAATGGCAACGCGTTTTTTTTTTTTTTTTTGCTGCAAAAGGCATTGCATTCAAACGCGGCCCTCCACCGACGAGGACTCGCGGCTCACGCAAAGCAAATGCACTGCATGCCTTCTCTGAAGCAGCGGCGGCTTTCGTCAGCTAATCGTGGCCTTTCCTCAGTCAGCTACAATTCCCAATTGACTAGAATTCCCGGCTTCGTGCGTCATTCATCATATAGTGATTGGTCAGTACACTGGCATCGGCGGCCATTCCCGTTTGTGCATGCAGAGAGCTCAGTGGTTTCGGATGGTGCACGACTATAGCGACATTATAAAGCCCCCCCCCCCCCCCCCAACCCCTGCCACCCATTCTGTACGCTTACCGAGCCCGAAGAAGCTTTCCACGCTTAGTTCCGTGCATAACAGTCGACTCTCAGTACATAAAGGAGTTCGTCAACACACTCCGCTTGTTATAAGCCTTCCCTAAGGGGGGGGGGGGGGGCGTTTGTAATTGCACGCGCAGAAAATTATTAGACTTCTGTGATTATTTTCTCGAAGAAATAAAGTGTCCCATTTGCGAGGATGATGCGGTAGTGGTACGATAGCGCGGCCGGTGGCTAGGAGCGGCTTCGGCTGGCGGTGCACGCAATTCACGCGGTGGGAGAGGAGCGGCCACAATAGTGGCGCGCGTTTCCCACGGAAGCCGGAGCGTGCGGCTGCCGCCCATCGCGTGCGCACTCCTCTCCTGTGGCATGTGCCACTGGCGGTCCCATTTTCATACGGAGTGGATGGCATCTCTTTACTGCAGAACGCGCCATGGTATCTGGTATACGCAACAGCTTGATCGGAAGGACACCCCTAAAGCTTATTTTCAAGAAACCCTTTAGTTTTACATTGAAGGAAACAAGTGGAACTGGAAAGACTCAATTTTTCTTTTTACGCTGTCGTAGTTGGACATAACAGGCAGCTACGGTAAAAAGATAACTTGCCGCTGGCATGGATCAAACCTGCGACCTTCGAATAACGCGTCCGATGCTCTATCAACTGACCTAAAGCAACGGTCAACCCCCCATCCACTTTATGGAGTATACATGGGCATTAAAGCCTAGGAGAGTTAGCACCGCCAGTAGCCATGACGGTGAGTTTGGAACACTCCTTTAAGAGAGCGAATCACCTCAAAGGCTAGGGTTCTCCCTAACATATGGCACAACGCTTGGGTAACGTATGGTATAGTCTAAACTTGTGTCTCAAGTAAGGCTCGGCATCATCAGGTGTCTCTACCAGCGTTGTCCATCACGCATACTTCTCCGGTAGGCGGCGGTAACCCACCAAAGCGCGAACAGTAGCTGCCGTAACGGTGATGCGATGTCAGCGCACAGCTTTCGAGGTACAGCTGCTCCAAGCAAAAGAGTGCTCCCTGCAGAGTGTCCACGTCAGCACACACGCGCGCCCACACCTCCTCTCCTCCCCTCTGGGCCGCCGAGTGACGCCGCAAATCACGCGGCCAGTCGCGCCGCGTGGTCGTGGGAAAACTCCGTCGGCCAGGGCTCGGCTGAGTGTTTGCGGTGCGAAGAGTGTCGTCGACGCCACAGGTGCCGTCGCTGCATGGGGTCGACACGTCGGTCGATCGACGCTTGTGCTTTACTTGCATTGGCTTGCCAAGATAGGCAGCTGAGCGAGCTTCACACGGACGTCTTCGTCATGGCAGACATTTCGCCTCCATCGAAATGCGGCCCCGCCGCGGTGGTCTAGTGGCTAAGGTACTCGGCTGCTGACCCGCAGGGCGCGGGTTCGAATCCCGGCTGCGGCGGCTGCATTTCCGATGGAGGCGGAAATGTTGTAGGCCCGTGTGCTCAGATTTGGGTGCACGTTAAAGAACCCCAGGTGGTCTAAATTTTCCGGAGCCCTCCACTACGGCGTCTCTCATAATCATATAGTGGTTTTGGGACGTTAAACCCCACATATCAATCAATCAATCATCGAAATGCGAACGCCGGGGTCAAACCGCGTCATTCGGTTCACCACTGTACCAACGCGGCAGCCCTCAAGAACAGTGCATTCAAGAGTTCTCTGATTGCGGTGCACCGCTAGAAACGGCATGCTTTCCTCGCGGCTATTCATGACGTAGATAAGCAGACGCAGTGGTTAACGCTTGCCCTGCTAGTAAGTCTCACAGCTATCACCATCGTCGCTGTCCTGTCGTTTTTCGATTCGGAACCAACGTGGCCGTATGCTATGGTCGCTTGCATGCGAATGCCTTGGTCGTAAACTAGCATGTTACGGGGTATTTATCGAGAACCCGTGGTAGGCAAACGAGAAATTTCTGCTATTCAATAAGAATACCGTCAATAAGTGCCTTATCTGACAATTGTTCAATTAACCTGGCGCAATTAGGCAAAACACAAAGAATGGTTGGGCTTGCTTCATGCGATAGTTAGTGTCATGCATTTGATTGCGTGTCATCAAGCGTGTTTGTAGGCATATTTTTATGTCCCGAAACCACTATATGATAATGAGAGATGCCGTCCGCAAATTTTGACCACCTGGTGTTCTTCAACATGCACTCACATCGCACAGTGCACAAGCCATTTCGCCTGCATCCAAATACGATCTCTGTGGCTGAAATAGAACCCTCAACCTTCTGATCAGCAGGCGAGCCCCGTAACCGCCGCTGGATGGAACAGCCTGCATAGCTGAGACTAAGGCATGCGTCCTATTAACAATAAAAATATAACGCAAGTCACGCCACAAATCGTACCATACCACACCGCATGAAAGAGAGAAAAGGAGAGAGAGAAGGTCTTCGAATTCAAAGAAGGCGCCATATATATAGTGGGTGCCCCCTACTTAACGTTTGCGTGGTGTGTGTGTAAAGAGAAAGCGGTTAACGATTTAGAGTACTCGGTACACTGCTATGGGAGAGCTGACAGTCGTCCCTGACGTTTGATGGCAAATAATAAAGCAAAGTACAATTCTCCAGGCATGAACTTCGCCGTTGAACCTCCGGGTGTCTCCTGCTGACCTTCTTCTGTCCATCAGTTTTATTTCTTCTCTCAACGAATATTTGGACCCCCATCGTCAAGCCAACCAAACTGTTCTCAGTGAAATAAAGCGAACCAAAAACCCTTTCTCCACTCTGCTAACTCATTAGACGTTTTGATGTCATGGCGGGTTAAGGCGTGGTACGAACTCTTTTAAAAATTTGCTGACGGCGAAAGAAGCACCGAACCTGTAGGCGTCACATTGCAAGCTATCACCACAATCGCAGGTCGCGCGATGCCGCCTCGAAAAAGGATATTTCATCCTCAGTGAAGCATCCTCACCAAGAAATTATTGCCGCGTGCTCCGACAAGGAGAGATACCATCGCCAACAGCACCCGTGCGAAACCGAAACTAAAATTGCGCGCACCGCGCTCCCCCGTAGCTGCCTCTTATCGTTTTGCGTTGCCTCACGTTGGGCACGCTCGCTAACGGATCGCCTCCTCTCCCAAATCGGCAAGTGCGGGGCGGCCGCCACGCTCCCTGGCCATTATGCGGCGGCTGCCGAAAAACTCTTCCCACGGTGGCGTGGGAAAGAGGCTCCTCCTGCCGCCGCCTGTGACGACGCGTGTCCCCCGGTCGGCTGCTGCTGCACGCGTGCGGCGACGACGGGATGGACGTCCCGGGAGCCAGCGCGGCTGGCGAGGAGGAGGCGACCGGCGCTCCGACACGTGCCCGCAACCGGGCTCAGCATTCGGGAGTCGCGCACGCGACCGAGCGGACGTCCAGCGCGCGCGCCTAGCATCTCCCGTGCCGTCGGACGCCCGCCCGAACGCTGTTGGTGCGACGCCGACGAAATGTTTTCGTTCGGCCATTCCGGAGCGAGCTCCGGTTCCGGCAGTTGCCAGCTGCTGACCAGGAAGAAAAGACGAGGCGTGAGTACAGCATCCTTCCTCTTGTCTGAGATCAAAACTAATCGGCTACGTGCAGCACTCGAAGCTATCTTCGAATAACCCTTTAGACCTGTATTGACAAACCAGCCTGGGCCTTACCTCATGTTTCTGTGCCCTCTACATGCGTTATAAAGGTACAAAAATGGTAACGAGGTAAATTATTACAATGACATTGGTTCATGAATACTGGGCCCACTTTGTACATCAAGCACAATTAAGGCTGAGGTAAGGCTGACGATGGTTTGTGAGTAGGGGCCGTAAGTTTCGAACATTTCTAGTCTTTCTCGCTCGGTGAAATCCGAGTTTGAAAATTTGTTTCCTCCCGCCCTCCATGCGTTATTTGGAAGACTAAGAACACGGGTTAATCGGGACTTGTACGTCTACTTCTTTACGTTACCGTGCTACGTTTACCATGGAGCGCTTCAAATCTCGCTTCAAGTGTGGGGAGCTAGCGCGATGCCATGTGTGGGACCACTACGTGATTTCTCACGGAGGGTGATTTTTCTGGTGAAGGTGATCATAATTCCTTGCCCATAGAACGTCGACGAGTGGCGGGTGCTGCCAGTTGACGAAGAAGACACGTCCACTTTTCGTTGATTCCAGCGTCAATACCTGTTCAAGGATTTTTTCATCTAATCAAAGCATCCTTTGAACTTGATGGTAAACTTGATTCGCATGAGTGATTACGAGAGCTACGTCAATTCGCAGCACAGGTGGGGTGAGAGGTTCTGCACTGTAGCAGATTGTGTTCGGCAGTGATTATGATTATAACCAGTACGCGTCATATCTTCGTTACTCGTACGATGCAGGCCTTACCTGCGGCGTAACTAGGAGTATGTGTGTGGGCGGTGGTGTCACCCCCTCGATGCAAGCACACGCATTTATGAAACGTATACGTGACTCCACAGTTGCTAGCTCTACTTGCAATCATGTGTGATTTGCTGACGAGCATCGTTCTTCTCTGCAGATAATCGAGAAGAGACGTCGTGATCGGATTAACACCTCTCTGACCGAACTCCGACGGCTCGTACCCACGGCATTCGAAAAACAGGTAAGCGTGCACGTTGTTGCGATTTCTATTCGCTGTGGAGATGCGGCGATTAGTGTCTTGCCCCTCACTGTGGACGTCGATCGCGAACGCCGCTCACCGCAGGACGAAACTTTTTCACTGACTGACTGCCACACGTAGAAAGAACCACGTAACAACTCTGCACATTTGACCGACGTATGCACTTCGCACGAGGGCGGACGTCTCTGAGCGTAGCTCTTCTTCCCAGGAGAGCCGCGCGCATTCAAATATCGCTTGAATGATCAATGTCAAATGCGCTCGATTACTACGAGCGATAAATCTACTTTACAAAGTGGTCTTGCCAGCGTATATAAAGGTTTCACCTTCGAGCCCAAGGCGGCTAGAAGGTGAAAGAAATCCCGTGTAGCTATATCATCACCAAAGTCATTGGATATTCAGAGTTCACAAGGGTAGTTCCGCACATTATTGATGCTTTGTGCGACAATTATGATTGTGATAAATTATATAGCTCAGCCATTCGTAATGAGCTGGCAGCTTTCAGTCGCCCACTTTTCATGCTATTCACACGGTGTGACGCCTAGTGCAATCGTATACGCTTATGCCACGAAATTTCAGGTGTTTTGACGGACTCCTCGCGCGAATTGACAACTCAACTGGGTCTTTTACAGCGTATTTATTTGAACCGAACGTTAGTCCAAATGGAAAACTGTCATTGGCACGCGCTCTTTTCAGCCCCTTCTTCATATTCTGTATCGCTGCAGCCAGAACACGTGCGCCGATTTGTCCGGCTTGGGGCGCAGTAACCCTGGTAGGGGAGACAACGAGAAAGGCAGGGAAGAAAGGCAGAGAAATAACAAAACAGATAGATGGAAACATATATACGAAAATAGAGAGAAATAACATACAGTAAGACAGAAAGAGAAGGAAAGAGAGAGAACAAGATAGAGAAATGAAAGGAGGAGGAGAGGGAAGAGAGAGAAAAAAAGGTAGAAAAGTGCGAAAAAGAGAATTAAAAAGGGAGAAAGAGAGACAAAAAATATGTGTAAAAACAAAGAGAAAGAGCAAGAATTGAAGAAAGAAAAATAGCAACACTGAGTTCTTCCGAATTGGCGTTACTTTAGTGCCAAGCTGCCTTAATTTCTTTCTTTCTTTCTTTCAGTTCCTTTTTTTTTTTCATATCTACCTAAAGCACTGAAGTGAGACTTGTGGAATATGCTTCACTTCTACTCATAATGCTTGCATTCGAATCGCCCGAAACCTCGATTTTTATCTTACCTTTATTACATTATCAGGCAGGTGTTTGTGCCGCTAAATTGAAAGCACGCATCTCATCTCAGGGATCTGCCAAGCTGGAGAAAGCCGAAATTCTGCAAATGACAGTGGACCATCTGAAGATGCTGCACTCGAAAGGTGAGGATGGTGTTTTGTGTCGTTCTTTTCGGTTCCAGCAGCAAGTGATTCCTTCTCGAGGAAACAGCACATGTACCATGCCTTGTCGCATGCCATTTATGAATAACTGTCGGTGAATGGGCCAAATCAATACAGCACTGTTTCAAGGCAATCAGCATTCTACTGCAACAAAGATAATCTTGTATGTTAATTTGTATGGTAGGCTTGATCGAAATGTAGGGTTTAACATCCCAAAACTACCATATGCTTATTAGAGACGCCGTAGTGGAGGGCTCCGGAAATTTCGACAACCTGGGGTTATTTAACGTGCACCCAATCTGAGCACACGGGCCTACAACATTTTCGCCTCCATCTGAAATGCAGCCGCCGCCGCAGGAATCAGATCCCGTGACCTGCGGGTCAGCATCCGAGTAACTTAGCCACTACACCACCGCGGCAGGGCTGTACGGTAGACTTAGCGCGAATATAAAGACGAGAGAAATGCAGGCGCAACCTTCTCTCGTCTGCATGCAGGCATGATGCCCGTAGCACAGAGGTGGCACTGAACACGGCTTCATTGTATACGAAAGTCCGCAACAGCTAGTGTGTCGCAGTCATGTCGCTAATTGGGACGTCGCAAAATAGCAGAGAGCCCAGCTCTTTGTCATATTCTAGTCAATGAAAGGTGCTATATTCGGGGACAACTTTCTGCAGCAATGAAGGCAAAGCTACGGGGATGGAGCTACTGCACATGTTGTCTTCCGCGAAGTAGTCCACCTAGACTCGCTTTTCGAATGACGGCCGTGTTCGAATAATACAACAGCATAGAACTTGCTACATCTGCTTTTGTGAGTGAACTTCGTCAGCTGCATTTGCGGGTCGTCGGAATCGCTGGAGGGTGACGTGCGCTCACATAAAGGCAAGGACGCCATTTTGACTATGAGGTGCACCTAAAACGTGCGACGTTTTCAGGCGTGCAAAACGCGAAATTACGCTTCATAAATCATAACAAACATTATTAGCGCCTTGGTTCGTTCAGTGTCTCACGGCATTCTGTAGAAAATTAAGGACCATCTTCTCGAAGGGAACACTGATGGGATTCGAAGCAGCAGGTGTGCGCACGGTGTTGACTCGGTTGAAACAGGCGTCGACGCGAGTGCTGGAAGAATGGTTTGAATCGAAACTCTGTGTCGTGTTTACTCGAGTATACGTTTGTTTGAAACGCAAATACACGAAGGGTGACTTGGGTTTCATTGATTGATTGATTTATACGGGGGGTTTAACGTTCCAAAACTCCGATATGGTTGTGAGAGACCCCGTAGTGGAGGACTCCGGAAATTTCGACCACCTGGGGTTCTTTAACGTGCACCCCAACCTGAGCACACGGGCCTACAGCATTTTCGCCTCCATCGAAAATGCAGCCGCCACAGCCGTAATTCGATCCCACGTCCTGTGGGCCAGCAACCGAGTAACTTAGTCACTAGACCACTGTGGCGGGTTCGGTTGGGTTTCGTGTAAGTTTCATCGCACATAAAGGAGCCGAAAGAGTAGACAGATTTAGTTGCGCGTCTGCTGCAGCCGTACGGACGCAGCCTCCCATTGCGAATGGCTGGCAGGCTGCGTCAGTATATGACTGCTGCGGACGCGCAACTAAATCTGTCTAGTGTTCCCACTCGACGTGCGGCCGAGCATTGCGGGTGGCGGAGAGGATGAAGCGAGAGAGCAGCGTGTTGCAAGCAGGCGGAGGGGCAGGCAGCTGCTGCGGGTGACGAAGAGAGTGACGTCGACGCGCCGCATCGTCTTGACCTACCTGGCACCACTCCAACACCTGTGACGAGGATGTGCGGGACAACGTTACACAAGCTTGTCAAAGGGCTGTTTCGCATCTAAAATAAAGTAATGTTGTTTTTCATGATTTTCGCGCGGAAAACATTGACGCATTTGTGGGGCTATATTCTTCAGCGGTGGCACACGCCCACTTTGGTTCCGTAGCCTTCCCTTTATGGCCACAGAAAGTTGTGCCCGAGTAATGCTATAGTTTATTATTGCCTACGATGGTGTATCCGATGCAAATAACCATCTCATACAAAAAGGGGGGGGGGGGCATAACGATCGCTTCACTTCGTGAAATGAAACACCGTCCACGTAACACAATTTTGCGGTGTCGCTGAAGAAAATTAAACGAATTAGCAGATTGGAAACTTGCTCGATACGCGAGGACTGGATTCCCACGCTCTTTGCTCGTGAAGGCAGTTACACCGCATTCGCAGGCTGTATCGAAGGCCACTTCCCGATACACTTCGATGTTCCCCAACTGCTTTGTTGCGTGACGAAGCTGCGCCGCAAATATGGAATCGGCTCAGTTTTCCTGCTCTTCGCTGGCGCCCTAAATTTCGAGCCTGGATGGTGCAGAATAATAAATAGACAAATAATAAATAAGTTAGAAATTCAACTCACTTTTGGCGTGATCAGTGACGCCTTGGAGGAACAATGGAGGGCTTTACTGCTCGGTGGTTAGGAATGATCAATAACGAGATAGTACAAGTAACGCTAATAATAGCAATAATAATAATAATAATAATAATAATAATAATAATAATAATAATAATAATAATAATAAACGGCTTGGTTTTACGTGCCTTAACTACGACATTACAAGGGACGCCTTGGTGGAGGGCTCCGGAAATTTAGTTTGGCAAAGTTTCTTCAACTAGCAGTGGAAGGTACACGGGCCTCTAGCATTCCGCTTTCGTCAAGTACAACCGCCGCGGCTGCGATCGAAATTGCAAGATGAACTACAACGGCACAGTTTTGAGACAACGTTCATTTTGCCTGTTCTAGCGTGTGCTCCAAATTTTTATCCTTTTTGTAGGCGCTAGGGTGTTGGCAAAGGGCAGCAAGTGCTCGACTGTGTCTGTACCCTTACTGAAGTTGAAAACTGAAGTTTATTTGACCACAGTGTTTACATTTTTTACACTCGTCCATGTAACAATATGCAGTGTGGAATGCGAGAAAAAAGCTGTGATATAGACACAGCTTTACTATAGCCCCAGCACTGCAAGACAGAAATAGCATTCGTGAATAGACACAAGTAAATACGTGCATAGTTTGAATTTTATTTATACAGTCGTTGCCTGCGATGAAGAGGTCGAAAGGCAAGTGCGACTGACAGAGCTCCCTTCTACCCTGACATTGCTCGAGGGTGGACGTAAGCAGTAGAGCAATGCAAAGACAACAAAGATGCTCTAAATATATGCAGCAGGCAATCAAGTGTAAACGAAGTTAAGGTAGTTAATTTTTATACATGCAATAGTACAATGCTCAACAAGGAAAAATTTATAATGCTAATCAGCTAGGTTATGAACACAGTATAAACTAATAGGAAAAAATTGTGAAAACGATTTTAAGCGATATCAAAAATGTGAGAAAAAGCGCATAGCGTACAAAGGGTGTTAAGAGGTAATTATTAGTACACTAATACCCGTGTCCCACGGGCATAGAAAATGACATTCGGTAGTGAAGGCATTCAGTTCCCGTATGACATTTCCTTCGGCGGCGCTGCTACACGTCCAAAGCGAATGACATTTGGCTTGATGATGTCGATCGCAGCACCTCCTCGTAAGCATTGGGTGAGTAGCAAAAAAAATTAAACAAGCGTTTACAAGCTTCATACACATCAAATAATAAATAAATGTATAAATAAGCATATTACGCTGCCGTCAGACTTCGTATGTTACTTTGTTTCTCGACGTTTCAACCGACCATGTAGCAACTTAAGCCAAAGCTAGTCAGATCCGCAGCGTACAAAATGGCGCCTGTCGCATTTATTTTACAGCGTCTACCAGATGAAAATAAGTTTTAAGCACTTGTTTAAGTGATTAGTGTGAATAAAATACGCAAAAAGTTCCCTTCCAGTTTCATACAATTCCTTCATCAGCTTTGCCGTTGAGAGTGCGCATTTCTTAGTCGAATGAGTTCTGGCGATGGCATTAGGTGACGAACGGCATTTGGGCAAAAGCCATTTCGTTCATCCACGTGGCACCACGCGAATGACATTCAATCTTAAGGCGTTGAGAAGTGAATGCTATTTTCTCTGCCCATGTGTACAAAAAGAAATAACAAAGGTATAATAATGATATCGTTCCAAAACCACGGCTTGTGAATGAGAGACGCCATAGAGGGCTCTAGTAATTTTGACCGCCTCGTGCTCTTTTGACGTGCAATAAGTACGCGGGCTTCGAGCGTGTATAAAAAAAGAAAATGCGTAAACAATTGAACTCCTCACAGAAGCACAAAAATATAAAGAAACAATATCAAAACGAAAAAATATTTGAATCTGCGGATTCTTATGCTACCTTTTTCCCTTCGTTTTTCTTTCCTTTTGGTTTATGTCAGTAAAAAAGACAAATAGATGATTGAATACGTCCTGTTGCGAAAGAAAACGCGATCACTCTAATGAAAAGCTCAGTGTGTGTGGCAGTGATTGTTCGACACCGAGGAGCCTTCCAATAATTACTGTGACTAGTATACAGATCTAGACGAAGTGCTGCGCTGTGAGCATGCTATGACGGCAGTATTGTTATTTTGCTTTGTTCATTGAAGCTAATCCTACAAATCCCCGCCATGGTGGTCTTGTGGCTAAGGTACTCGGCTGCTGACCCGCAGGTCGCGGGTTCAAATCCCGGCTGTGGCGGCTGCATTTCCGATGGAGGCGGAAATGTTGTAGGCCCGTGTACTCAGATTTGGGTGCACGTTAAAGAACCCCAGGTGGTCAAAATTTCCGGAGCCCTCCACTACGGCGTCTCTCATAATCAAATGGTGGTTTTGGGACGTTAAACCGCACAAATCAATCAAATCATATATATTAATGTCATTAATCGCCTCCCCTTGCAAGTGACCCACCGCGGTGTCCTAATGGTCATGGTTCTCGACTGCTGAGGTCGTGGAATCGAATCCCGAATGTGATGTGGTAGCCGCATTTTCGATGGAAGCAAAAATGCTCGATGTTGTGTACTTAAATTTGGGTACACGTAAAGAACCCTGTGGTGGAAATTTCCGGAGCATTTCACTGCACGGCGTCTCTCATAGCCATATATTGGCTTTAACAATTATCATTAGTTCTTATCTCTTTTAAAGTTTTGCAGGATTTGATCATATATAGCCTTGGCGTGACGCCGGCATATATTGCACCGGCTGTTGGATCTCCCGTGGCGTCTCTCGGAACATTCGCTCAGCGGCAGCGAAACACTTGTCGCAGGCTGTTGCAGGGGGGGGGGGGGGGGGAACGAGAAAAAAAGCGCCCTATTCCCTTGCGATGCATTTTAATGCCACAGAGTCGCCTATAGACTGGAGCGCTTTCCCACGCTTGATCCGCTCCTCGCGGTCAGCGTGCGTAGCGTGTGAGTTTTCGGGTTGCGTGCGTGCTCGACCACTTCCTTGAGAACGCCGCCGTGCAGATAAAAGAGAGGCGCCTGACCGTAATTGGGTCTTCTGTTCTTCGAGCCGAAGGAGAGAGGAGGCTCAAGCCACTGTTTGTCGCGGTTCAAAGAGGCCGCTACTCTCGACCTCACTTTGGGGGGAATTAGTACAACCGAGCTTATTCCGTCCTCCCGAGTCCGTTCTTCCGAGAGCCTGCTAATCAGTATGAAATTGTTGAAAACTGGCTACCAGGGAATGCAAATAAACATGCATACATGAACGCGCGCTGGGCTTCGGGGTAAGGCGAACGTTCATCGCTGCGTCCCCCTCTTCGTGTTAGGTCAATGCGGCGGACTTTGGGCCCCGCCTCCTGAGTTACAAAGCCCCCCCCCCCCCCCCCGTGCTCACGCCTATGCACGTATACACAAAAAGAATGACGCTGTACGCATGGGTGAACGCTGTACTTTTCAACCGTCCTTTATTGGAATTAACGTTGCTGCACTAGACTTCTCACGCATGTGAATTGCTCTCATGTGTCACGTGGCTTGGGTAGTGACTGCAATGTGCATTCGCGAGAATTCGGCAATGTAAATTACAATAAAGCACAGTTGAAGGTGCAGACCGTGCGTGTTCTTTTTGTGTATTCGCTGGTACTCCGTATTCACGAGGCAACAACTGGCTGAACTGCTAGATGGCGAACTGGTCGAGCATGACGGCTAAAGATTCCGCTTGTAAATCGACCTGGTTGAGCAAAACCGAGCTTTTAGAAGTCTGAACACCTTCAGGAGTGAGGAGGCCCGTATATAATGTCACCATCAAGAAATAGCGACAAATGCCTGCGCATCTGTCGGCTCTGGTCCCTAAGGAAAAGTTGCTGTGGGATCCTTATGTTAATCACACATGCTTAGCTGCCTTGCGCTTTATTGGTATACCACAATAATCATGTCCTTCCTACCAAAATCAAACTTTTGCTTGTTCAATCTCTGTTTATGGCACGGGTTATATTATTTCCAGCTTGTTTGGGGCACTGCCACGTTCACAAATTTAGAAAAGGTTTATATTCTACAAAAAAAAGAAACTTTACGCCTCATTTAAGCTTTACCCAGAGATTACGCTTCTGCGCAGCTCTATCAGATACTGCTATTCTAAAGGTATTTAGCCTCTATAAATTAACCCGAATTCTCCGATGTAAACACGAAATAAAAAAAATATATCCATGATTAACGAAATGGCAGAACTAGCTGAATACGTTCCTATATATATATCCTTTGAGGTTGATGGAAAAATTTAAGGTGAAGTCCTCTCACACTAATCACGGTGCCCAAATGTTAAGAAATACTTTACCCTCTGTTTTAAATGTTTTAGCACGAAGTGATGTTGACATTGATGTGTGTTGTAGGTTATGAGCTTCTAGCGTTTTTCTAATTAATCTTGCATCTGGTACGTGTTTCAAATGTAAAGTAGCCCTTCACAATGTATTCTGAGTGCTTTTTTTTTCAAATGCTGATGACTCTCTGCATGTAACAGATGTTTTTTTTTATTTCTTTTTATTCCACAAAATGTGTGTACTGCGACTGCGTGAGGCTGGACTGTAACCGGCTAGGAAGCGTAGTCAAGCTCTGTCGAGCTTTTTCTTCCCATGCCCTCTGTTCTTCGAAGTAGTAAATAAATGAAAGGAATGAAGGCGCGCACTAAGCACGCGATATCGCTATCACGTTCAACTTAAGAACCGACTATTTTTTTTTAACCCTTTCGGATTATGGTCCTCGTCAGAGTATACGGGATGCTGCTCGCGTGCTCTTTATATGATATGCCCTCGTGCACAGGGCAAATTAGGTATTGACTATAGGAGCCGAACGAGAACACCTCCAATCGGTGCCCGTCCGACACTCACTTCTTGTGGGTCTGTCCTGTTCTCGCGATGGTATTGGAGAAACACAAGAGATGCAGCATTACCTCACTGGAGGGAGACATGCACCGTGCCGCCCCCTCAGGCCGACGTCAGGCGAACTGTCAACCTTTTATAGAAGCTTATGCTCGAGGTCAGCTTGTCCAGCAAGCTATGAACGTATGGTTTCTCGTATATTTTTTCCCAGTATAGATAATTGAATTTGCTTTAAGCATGCACTGAGCCATCTTGTTAACTTTTTTCTCTCCCTCTTGTTCTTCTGGCGGCAGGTGTGGATGCATTCACGTTTGACCCGCACAAGTTCGCCATGGATTACCACTCCATGGGCTTCCGTGAATGCGCAAGCGAGGTGGCCCGCTACCTAGTGGCCATTGAGGGCATCGACCTGCAAGACCCGCTTCGGCTGCGCCTCATGAGTCACCTGCAGTGCTATTCGGCACAGCGAGAGCTGGCCGCCAAGTCGTCCTGCTGGAGTCCAGCGAGTCCAGCGGCTCCTCACTACCCGACCTCCAGCGGCTCTCCCCAGGCGTCTCCGGCCACAGCGGTGGTGGAGCAGTACGCCTCGGGAAACGAGCCGCCGCGGCTTGAGACCAAGGGCTTCCGGCAACACTTGCCCGTGGCCACCAGGACGACGCACATGCCCCTCACGCCCCCGACGGCGAACGTCATGTTGCCAACTGCGGCGACGCAACAGGGGGGAAACCAGTACTTCCACGGCGTCGCTGCCGCCCATTTCTCTCCCATGACTCCCCCGACGTCGTCGACGACGTATGGCTCCGACCTGTCCCCGCTTTCTGGTTCCGGCGGCGTCAAACCGTACAGGCCATGGGGCAGCGAGATCGCCTACTGAATGCTCGAAATTCCGTGTCCGCCTTCGCGGCTGCTTTCTATAGGACAAAGCCTGCGGGTCTCCTCCTTCACCGTCCTATTCCTGTCAATAGCCATCGGACGTCGCCGTGAACCAGCAAGAGCCTCGCTCGATCAAAGCCATGTGCGAAGTTCTCAGAAATACTTTGCTCACATTCATGTTTCGCCGGGCGGAAACCTCAAGTGTGGCACAACAGCAGTTTGAGAGGTGAGGCTCGAAACTGGCGTCGACAGCAAGCAGACGCCGAAAGCCAGCGTCCCGACGATCTTGAGCGTATACACTCTGTGGAGAGATCATCAGACAATACTTCATGCAGCGAGATGTGTGAACTGAGGACATGGTTATCCGGTCTCGTGCGTGTTGTACTAGTCCGCAAAATGTCATACATGTGAACTTGGCGAGAACGATGCTTGTCAGGCGAGTGCACCTTTTCAAAGGAAGAAAAAAATGCGTTTTCATGGTGCCAGACAAGGGAAGCCGAAATGAAAAGCTGTAGTCGCGAGAGTACTCAACCATTTGTGGCCCAAATGGTTGAAAAGTCACGCACCACCTCGTGGCAGTGGGTGAGAAAAGCTTTGTAGTGACTGCTTTTGACACAACACGTTCATGCTTGACACAAGCACCCGCCCAAAAGCTGTCAATGCCAAGTTTTTTTCCTGCCACTATTGAGAATTGTGGAAGATTTAGGCACGAATTTTCATCCTAATACCTGTGATATATTTATTTTCAAGAAGACTCGAGCTCGCGGTGAAAGAAATCGGTCCTAAGGGAGCAGCCAGGGTATAAATAATCTGCTATTTGCTAGTCAAATGTGTACAAACCGCAGCTATAAGCGAAAGACCATTATTTATCTCCGTAACATACCTGAAGTTTACGCAAACACGCAGTAGCCGAGTAATAAAGGTTTTATATGTCAGCAATCGCGCTGGAACCCTGCAGTGCGGCACATAAATTATTCTTCTCAGCGTACGCTTAGATGAATAATATTCTCACGTGAGAATCGGGCAAGTCCACAATTAGCTGTCGTTTTTTGTGCAGGGCTTGTGGCTACTAGAGCAGGGCCTGTCACCTCTCTGGCTAAGACGGCACATACAGTCACTGCATTTTCAGAGCTAGTTAATTTTCCTACCACATTTATTGCGCTGTGATAACGGCAACCGTTCAGCGCACGTTTTCCCAAGTCCTAATAATAGTTAATCAGTGTGGTACTTCGTGCGGTCAGCTTGGATATCCCCGACGAGAAATCTAGACAGTCAGCAATCAGATATACAGAGGATGAACTTGAGTGCATGTTTATTAACACAGGCATATTACTATCGGTGAACGATTATCTTAGAGGCTGTGGATATGTGAGGCCGAAAGGATGCACATTTGAACAATTCCTCTCATTGAGCTGCCTCATTAGTATTTTCTGGCCGAGCTATATTGCACTGGCACCGGTGCTTCGAACCACCACATGTAGTGTGACCTCACTGGCACCGTCGGTATGACGACCAACCGCGTTTCGAGGCTAGCCAATGAAATCGTGCAGAGCGGCAATAATAGCGCTTTGAAAATGTCGTTTAACTGCGGTCAGTGCACGTGTTCGTCATTATGCGATGTGGAAAGGTGACGATAATGTTTTGGTCTAAAGTTCAGACACCAAACTCGGTGAAGGCCGTTGTCTTGCATTGATAGTGCCGTAAAACATTAAAATGGAGCTGCAGAGCGTGACTTGACGAATTCGTGATGCCACAATGCAAGGCGTGACAGTCCGCCGCGTCTCCTCACTGCACGCCCAAAGAGTACATGTACACGTTACAGCGCGTTAGGCGTGCACATGACGCGTCGTAACGTCTGGTTAGGGCTTAATTCTACGACAGGTGTAACTTTCTGAGAACGCCGTGAAGATAGTCATCTTTTAAGAAGTTACTTTTCAAGGCAGTGAGAAGAGATATGTCAAAACACAGCCATCCGCTGTTTTTGTGTTGCCTGCACTGCTGCCCACTCGTTGCAATCGGGGGCCACGAGCAAGGTACATGCCTCTTAAAGATTTTTCTTTGTGAGTGAATCGCAGATCGCATTTGGTATTACACAAATTTCGAGCGTTTCGACTGCTTGGATCTCACGAGCTCACTCAGTGTCTGGAGCGCAGGCATCGTGCAGTCGACTTTTCCTGTGTGACTTCAGAGGCCGAACACATGGCCTAGTGGAGAAAAAAAATGAAATGATGAGGCAGGGTCACTGAATATTCCTCCATGCATGAATGGCCGGGCCTGGCCACTCGTATACTCGTTGCAGCGCGTTGCTTTTTGACGCGGTGGTCACGTGATTAGGGCGCGCGGCTACCTCTGGGGATGTGTGGCTACGTGAAGTTGCGCGCGCTCTCCCTTGATAGCCAGGGGGTGCGGCACCCGTCGAAAATCCACGCGCTGCAACGGGTGCATGCATGGGGTCAGGCCTTCATGGCCGGGATACACGGGGGGCGCCAACGCCGGTGAACTTACAGTCCATGCCCTTGTCTTCGGAATTTCCAAAGTCTCAGAAACAAAAACCCGTATCCGTTCTTAATACCTTGTTTACTGGCGGTCCCTGATCTTTGTGAAAAAATGACCGCCGCCTATCGCGTATTTTTGGGAAATAGGCTACGTATATTTACACAAAGCTCTTTCGCTGCAATCGTCCGTGTGAGTGAATTTCAAACAACCTGAATGCTGAATGGAGCTAGAGAATGTGGCCAGCAAAACCTTCGCGAATTTAGCCTCAATTACGCAATAAGTGTGTTTCGCATGTCTCAGCTGATGAGCTAGCTGAGAAGCGCCTTTGTCCTCGAAGTTGCCCCGAAAGAAATATTTTTGTAGCAGATTATAGCACTGCTAATGGTTTTGATGAATAAACAACTCTAGTCTTCTATATATTGTTGCGAATGTATTTACTACTTTAGAGTAGAAAAGTACTCCAGCAGTCAAGATGGCAGCCGTTGTGTATTTCGAACAGCCCAAAAACGTCGTCGTCTTCTTCTTCGCACCGCCCGCATAGCTGCATAGCCGCGAACCCGCAACATCGACCTCCGGCGGCGAAAAGCGCCGACCCGGCGCTTGTTAGCAGGTGTTGGACGAGATGTACGGCTTGAGGCGAGCGACGTGGACGATGTCGGAAGATGTGGAAGGTATCGAAGGGTTTAGAGGTGCTATTTCATAGGTAACATCAGTTACCTGCCGTAGCACACGATAAGGTCCGGAATACTTGGGTAGAAGCTTTTCAGCCAGACCAACATGTCGCGACGGAGTCCACAGAAGAACGAGGTCACCTGGACTAAAGTGGACGTCCCGATGGTGGCTGTCATAGCTACGTTTCTGACGGAGCTGCGAGTCCGAAAGGCGCTGGTGGGCAATCTGACGGGCTTTCTCCGCGGTGCTAATAGCGCGGCGAGCATATGCTGTGGACAGGTCGGTAGGGTTGGGTACAAGCGTGTCGAACGGCAATGTCGGGTCTCTTCCATACAAAAGGTAAAAGGGAGAATATCCAGCAGTGTCGTGGCGTGAGCTATTGTAAGCGAAAGTGACAAAGGGTAGCGCAATGTCCCAGTCACGATGATCCGTCGACACGTACATGGCGAGCATGTCAGTGAGTGTGCGATTCAGACGTTCTGTGAGGCCGTTTGTTTGAGGATGGTAGGCCGTCGTAAGCTTGTGCTTGGTTGCACAAGAACGAAGTAGATCGTCAATTACCTTAGATAAAAAGTAGCGACCGCGATCGGTGACCAGTTGACGAGGAGCACCATGATGTAAGATGACGTCTTGAATCAAAAAGTCGGCGACATCTGTAGCGCAGCTGCTTGGAAGAGGTCTCGTAATTGCGAAACGGGTCGAGTAATCTATGGCGACGGCGACCCACCTGTTACCGTCGGTAGAAAGAGGGAAAGGGCCCAGCAGGTCGAGGCCGACACGATAGAAAGGCTCGGCAGGTACGTCGATCGGTTGAAGGAGCCCGGCGGGGTGTACCGCTGGCCTTTTGCGGCGTTGGCACGACTCACAAGACCTAACATAACGTTGTACAGAACGGTAGAGGCCGGGCCAGAAAAAGCGTCGGCGGACACGGTCGTACGTTCTGGCAACACCAAGGTGGCCAGCCGTTGGTACATCATGTAGTTGCTGAAGTACGGTCGAGTGCAAATGAGTGGGTATTACGAGTAGTAGTTCGTTTCCCACATGGTGCATGTTGCGGCGGTATAAAATGCCGTCTATGACAACGAACATGCGAAGCGAACTGTCTGTACAGCCTGTGTTCAGGCGGTCGATTAGCTCGCGTAGGGACGCGTCACGCCGTTGCTCACATCCCATGTTGCCGAAAGCAGAGAGCGAGGAAATACAGATGGACGCGTCGTCGGTTACTAGATCTGGAGCGTCAACGGGGTACCGAGAGAGGCAGTCGGCGTCTTGGTGTAAACGGCCAGACTTGTAAACCACTGTGTATGTGAATTCCTGGAGGCGCAGAGCCCAACGAGCAAGGCGCCCCGTTGGATCTTTGAGGGCTGAAAGCCAGCATAGAGCGTGATGGTCAGTGGTAACTGTGAAAGGCCGGCCATATAAATAGGGGCGGAATTTACCAACTGCCCATACAAGCGCCAGGCACTCGCGTTCCGTAATAGAGTAATTGCGTTCGGCAGGAGAAAGGAGCCGGCTGGCATACGCAAGAACTCGATCGTGACCGGATTGACGCTGGGCTAAAACCGCGCCAATACCGTAGCCACTAGCATCAGTGCGGACCTCGGTTGGAGCAGACGGGTCGAAGTGGGCGAGAATCGGTGGCGTGGTCAGAAGTGTTATGAGCTGGGAAAAGGCCGTGCCTTGATCAGGACCCCACTCAAATGGTACATCTTTCTTCAAAAGATCAGTGAGGGGGCGTGCGATCTCTGCGAAGTTTCTGACAAATCGTCGGAAATATGAGCATAGGCCCACAAAACTTCGAACGTCCTTGACACAAGTCGGTACAGGAAAATC